TTTTTTCTCTCAAAATTGTCGGTCTTTTTTTGTTTATAGCACAAGAAATAAAAAACGCAGAGGTGATCAGATACCACCAAAAGAAAGCTCCATTTGTGGGGAAAAAGGACGTAAATTTCATTTGGGTGCAGCGTTGCATGACCGTGCAATTGTCAGTTAAAGTAATGCAGCTTTGTATTGCAAAACATGACCTGGTCAAGAAGGGGGGAAATCCTTTGGGGGGCAAGTGGTTAAGGAATATATTTGAATGAAAGTTTTTACACCTGGATTTCAGTAGTAAACTGTACAGTACAGAAATGAAAAGAAATATCTGTGTGTCTGGGTAGGGTGACTTGAAATATGAATAAAGCATATCCCTCTATAGCAGGAGTGTCATGCTGAAACCAGAGGCAGAGCTAAGGGGGTGCTGCGCTGCACAGAGAAGCGCAGGATCTGATGGAGGAGTTCTGTCCTCTCTGCTGTCAACTGCTGAAATAAGGTGGGGGTAGAGATGAGGGGGTGCTGCAGCTACAGGAGAGGTGTGAGGGCCATATGAAATGGCTTAGCAGGCCGGATTCAGCCCATGGACCTTGTGTTTGACACATGTGCCCTATAGTGTTTATCTGACTCAATCCAGAGAACTGTCATTTCTTTCTGCTGTCTTGTTCTTCTGTTATCTTAAAGTTAATCTGACAAGTTTTCCTGACACCAAGAGAAAAAAGGTGACAGGGAAGAGATCCTTGGCACACCACCTGTGACTGACAGCCTCAACTCTGTTCCTGTGTGCTGTGTGAAGGATGGGGGAGGGTGTTCCTTCCCTCCAAACAGCTCTCACTGAACTCTGCAAAGTATAACTTCAACATGTGAACAATAGGTGACCCACTACAAATGCATCTCCTCTTCATTGGCAGCGCTATGAAAGCATTGAATATCTCAAAATCATTTAAATAATAAAACTATAATTAAAAAAGTGTCCTTCTTTTAACCCCTTCATGTCGGCGCCTCCTGGTACTTTAAGGGTTTCAGAAGTCGGGAGGCAGGACGGGGTTTAGGGTCATGTCACGGCGGTCACATGATTGGGAAAGGTCCCGATCGAAAGAGGAGATCGGGACCTTTCTGTGAGTACTGGACGTGTGCTGGGAGCGTGCAGGGCGCGTGTTCTCAGCACATATGTTCTTTTTTAATAGAACACATGTCAGTGTATGTAGGCCAGCAGACCTGTCAAAAAGGGATCTTTGTGAGTGTGTGAATAATCGTCTAGAAGACCAGTTAGCTATCACGTGAGGCAGTGGGAGAAGTGATAACTCAAGAATTATAGCTTGTAGTATAGCTTGAGGAATGTTTAGTAATCACTTGTCTGCTCCACAGCCCATAGACTGTGTCCAGCAGACACTGATAACCTTCACAGTACTGTTTTACCTGCTCAAAGCAAGCTGCCTCCCCATTATTCCAGCACCAAGGTCCTCGCCCGGGTTAGCAAGTCAATATGGGTGCATTCTTGACATCTACAGTTGTTACCTGTGTTCAAATTATGAAACTTTGGATTCTTCTGCCAGTGTGCTGATCGATTTCTGCAACATATCGGCTTTGTCTTTTCACCTTGCGTACCCCCATCCGTGACAGAAGACTTATGGGATTTTTGCCAACAAATTCTGGATTCTGCCAAACTGCGTAATACTCTTTCTAGCTCCTAATTTTGTAAATTAAAGAGTTGTTCCAGTGTGATGTAGCCACTTGATTCACAAAAGTGCTCTAAAGGGCAATTTGTACCCTTTTCCTGAAGGTGTTTATTGAACTCTGAGAATGTTACAAGATCTTTAGCCTCTTCAGAACTAATGTGTCTCATGGGATATAAAAATGACATCTCTATGCTGCAGTTTTCAAGGCTGTATACCTTCCATGGCTATTAACAAAGGGTTCAACCTCATACCCTGAACTTTTGTTTAACTTTTAGTTAAAAAACATTACACTGGAGGCTTCCTTCCACCTTAAAGTGGAGGCTTCCTTCTATCCCCCCCACCACCACCACCACCACTACTTTTAGTCAATTTTTATTTTTTGGGGGTAGTGGGTAACTCATTTTGAGAAATACCCACTCTCCCTCCCGGATAGCCTAGGCCAGTGGTCGGCAAGCCGCGGCTCGCGAGCCACATGCGGCTCTTTACACACTTTAATGCGGCTCTTCTGTGTGCCGGGCGCCCGCTCCCCTCCCTCCTCTCGGGCGGCCGCCCCAAAAGTCCGGACTCTGCAGCTAGCCCAGCAATGGGCAAACTACGGCCCGCGGGACCTTTTAATCCGGCCCGCGGAGCGTGGCAAACATTGGCTGTCAGGATGTAGGCGGGGCAGCGTGACAAACTCCTCTCCTCTCACAGTCCGCCCTGAACACCGGAACGGCGCGGGAACACGGCGAGAGGAAAGCGCGGAGCAAAGGTAAGTGAATTGACACAATATGGGGAATGAATTACTATAGGGGGGATGAATTACTATAGGGGGGATGAATTACTATATGGGGGATGAATTACTATGGGGGATGAATTACTATATGGGGGATGAATTACTATATGGGGGATGAATTACTCTATGGGGGATGAATTACTATATGGGGGATGAATTACTATGGGGGATGAATTACTATATGGGGGATGAATTACTATGGGGGATGAATTACTATATGGGGGATGAATTACTATATGGGGGATGAATTACTATGGGGGGTGAATTACTATATGGGGGATTAATTACTATGGGGGATGAATTACTATATGGGGGATGAATTACTATGGGAGATGAATTACTATATGGGGGATGAATTACTATATGGGGGATGAATTACTATGGGGGATGAATTACTATATGGGGGATGAATTACTATGGGGGATGAATTACTATGGGGGATGAATTACTATATGGGGGATGAATTACTATATGGGGGATGTAATTTTCAGTTTTAAAAATGTGGCTCTCAAAATAAATTTCAATCGTGGTTTTGGCGAGATTTGGCTCAGTTGAAAAAAAGGTTGCCCACCACTGGCCTAGGCGATCCAAGTGGAAGTTCACACACCCCCCCCCCTTTGCAGCCTTTTGTGTCTTGTCCGAGGAGGCTGCGGGACCATTCACAAAGCTCAGTGCAGTTCGCGCATGGAAAGAGGGAAGCTGGCTATGAAGCCACAAGGAGTCACAGCCAGCTTCCCTTAGTAAACATGCCAGTGTCGGTGACCCATAGACAGGCAAAGAACCATTCTAGGTGAGGACAGTGCTGAATCCCTGGACAGGTAAGTATCCTTGTATTAAAAATCAGCAGCTACAGTATTAGCTGCTTGCTGACTTTTTTTTTTTGGGGGGGGGGGGAGTAACTGAAGCTCCTCTCTAAAGTGTATGTGTAGCCATAACTTTTTTTTAGTTTTGAGTAGAGCAGGGATGGATTAGGACCCTTGTCTGTTATTTGCTCTCTGTGCACTACTGGGGAATTTTCTGATGATTTCCTGCCCAAGCAATACAACAGCAATACAACAAGAAGTTAGTGGAAATCTCCCAAAGTGAGGGGTATTCCCCTATTAGACAGTTGTCGCAAGAACAGGTGTCCTCATTGGAAGATTTTACTGTACTTCTTGTTCTGGGAACAACTCTAAAACCTGAAAGAGGGTCTAACCCTTCCCCACTCCATCCATTGTTCACTGTCTGGGGTGACTGACTTGTATGTTGTCTTTCTCTTTGTTCCGTTCTCTATAATATGAAAAAAATCCTACAGGGAATTTAGGGCCCCTTTTCATAATGATCATGTTAGGTATGCAAATCTGGGAACAGTAGTGAAGAGAGATGCTTTTAGGTTTAACACACCTACATGAACATCTAATAAAATAAAACTGAAATATAACTTTTGGATGGGTTGACCTATTTTGCACCTCGGTTGAGGCATGGCAATAAAAAGAATGAATACGTATTCCAATAAATCCAACTTTATTTCGTGTCTGTTTACTACATCCGCAACATGTTGAAAAGTAGTGATTTGGAAGGTCAGTTAATCTGTATTAAAATATTTGGTTAAATAGGAATCCCCCAATCTGTTTCTGTGGGTTCTTGATCAGTAGCAGATAAATTAAACTGGTTATATGCTGTAATCTGCTGAACAGTGTATCACCTATGTTGGCATACTTGATTATCCTACAAAGAGAATGACCTTTTGCATGGTGAAAAAAAAAACACTTGCCTGAATTTTTCATTTTCACAATTAAATGTATGAAAAATCATTCACAAATTCTGTACAATCTTGCATATACTCTTTGTTTATAGAGGGTAAAATTATCATTTGTTTTTGTTATGGTCATTAACAATGCAACAGAAGGGACTTTGTAATATTCATATAGGACATCTTTGCATGAATTCTCTTTTTTATGTGTCCTTTAAAAATGTAAATAGGAGCAGCACAACCTCACTTACATATTTAAATTTAAGCTGCCAGTTATTCATTTCTTGACAGTTTAAAAAAAGTGGTCTCTTTACAAACTTTAAAAGTACACAGTGCGTAGTGAACCGTGTACTCCAATGCATCCTGATTGCTCTCTATGCCCCTCTGTGTTCTGGAATAGCAGGCACATTTGTAAAACATTTAGTGTCAAAACATTCTTCTCTAACGTCAGTTTAAGCCCTTGCATTCTGCTTCACTGCCTGTGACCTTTGTATATTGATGTCTAGGACGTTAGGTGCCCCTTGTTATAGAGTGGGGGTGCAGAAAGGGACAGGAAACACATGCACTAGGCACTGTGTACTTAAGGTTTGTAAAAGATGACAGGTTCTCTCTAAAAACTTTCAGGCACTATTTTACCCTGTGATGAGAACAAAATGCCCTAATGAGAAGAAAAGCAAAGCAGCATTGCTGCCAACCAGCATTGGCAAAAAAAAAAATGTTCATCTTTGGTACATTGTACCTCAGCATCTTCCTTGGAGCATACCCGATACTTAAAATAGGTACTATTGAGATGCTTTATTTCCTTTAGATCTGATGACATTTCCCATTTGTGGGCTCACATAAGCCACTGCTCTTTCTCCTTGTTAAAATGTTCTGCCCATTTCCTTGTAAGAACAAGGTAGAGATCTGGCTGGTGGGGCAGGTAGTCTAGATAGAGACGAGTTGCTGTTTTCTTTGGCACAGCTTTCTCAATTTGGGTTCCTTCATGCCACTCATTGAAAGATGTGATAGAAACTATTTCCGGACGAACAGTGAGAGCAGCCTGTAGAGCAGTCTCATAATACTTTCCATTGACTCTGTTCCTGGTGTTGTGGTTGTTCCATGGCCTGATGCTGGTGTCGATGTACCCAGGTCCAACGCTTGGAATAAACATAAGATTGTTGGTATCACAAAAACTTTTGATTGTTTTCCAGTTCTGATGTGAGGAACCAAAGGAGAATCCATTGGAGGCAAAGTATGTGTAAATGCCATCAAAACCAGCTGTTAGGATATCATGCTTATGTCCTTCCTCTACCAACAAACCAATGAAGACTGCATCATAGGCAGTGTTGCGAACTGAATGGGAACCAGTCACAGTGAGCAAGTTCGCCCAGGACTCAGGTGGAGTCAGATATGAATCATAAATGTAGAAAAGTGGAAGGCTTTTGCTGGTACTTGTTTTATATCTATAAAACGCTGCATGGGATCCAAAACTAAAGAAAGAACAAAAGATAATTATGTTAGCCAATTATTATTATTATTATTATTATACAGGATTTATATAGTGCCAACAGTTTGCTCAGCGCTTTACAATATAACAGAAGACAATACAGTTCAATACAAGAGGGATTTGAGGACCCTGCTCCTTGGAGCTTACAATCTAAGAGGGAGGGGCTAGAGGTACAAAAGGTAGTAACTGTGGGGGATGGACTGGTTGGAAGAGTAGCCAATCAGCAAAAATCTCCACCAAGGTAGTTACTGTAATGTCTCCATTCATTTCTATGAAAAGGCCATACAGCATTGGAACATATAATTTACTGCCCTTCCATAGTAAGGAATGGAGATTGTGGTGCAAATGCACAGAAGAAGCAGCACACAGCTGGGGGACTTTTGAAGCAGTAACTGTAAAAGATTCAGCAGACCATGCAGAGAAGATCTTAGAAGGACCCTGACGAGGCAATTCACACATTGTCACCAGTTAACATGCACACCTTGACAAATGACAATATTTAGCAGGTTGGATTTTATTTGCAGCACCATACAGAACACAGCATGTGATGTGCTATGAATGGGCCCTAAGAATGAAGGGGGTGTTGATGGTAAGGGGGGACTTTTTGAGGATAACAATACTAAAAATACCCCATTAAAAAAAAAAAAATTTTTTTTTCAAAAAGATTTTTTAAAAATTCTTACATTTTATTTGGAAAATAAACAAAAGGTAAAAAATTATTTTTCATACTTCCTGGAAAAAAAAGGAAGGTCTGGAGTTTCTTGATGAATACTCTTACTACTTGACAATGCAACTATCACACCTGCTAAAATGGTCAAACCCACTATTACAAAAAAAGCAATTTATTATAGAAAAACATCTATTTAAACCTAAATTAAAGTATGACTAAAGGCTCAACTTTTTGTTAGATTTGGATAGAGAGGTGAGAGGTTAGAACCACTTCTATGCTTTTTCTTTCTTGATTTATTCTCTATGATGGAATAGAACCAGAACAGGAATGGGGATGGGAAGGAATCTTTCAATGGGGACATTGGAAAGATGTTTTCTTACATCCTGTTGAGTCTGCAGGACAGGTAATGAGGGGAAATCTCTAATGATACCCTAGCTACCCAGATGGCAAAAAACAGCAGTTTTAACCCTCCCCAACTATCCAAAATAAAAAAAATATAGGCTTTTGATATTCTTTAAATTTACAGAATCATATCTGACTTCATAACTGATCCCTAAAAACACAATGTTGCATTCTCTAAAATCATCTTCAAAAACTGTTCAAATTTAAAGTGTTACTAAAGCCAGGACCCTACATTCACTATATCTGGTACACACAACATGGAAATGCAATAATTTTAGTGGATATAAACTGCTAAGTACCTTTTCTGATCAGTAGTATATTCAATTATTTTAGTGAATATAAACTTCTAAGCTTCTTTTCTCATCAGCAGTATATAGCAGTCTTGTGACTTCTATCAGTGTCCAGCTGAGCTCTGGTTAAAGCTTGTAGGAGGTGTTTTCATTCGGTTCTGACTGTCCTATGAGGCTGCATAACCCCTGACCCTCTGTCTGGACAGTGCTGGTTGGCCCTGTGCCAATCACCTGCACCCTCCCAAAGAAAAAAAAATAGCTTTCTAGCCAAACACACTAAACTGAGAATGTGCAGAGTGACTCCTAGGGCTCTATACTATCAGCAGATGGATTGGGGACAGCAAAAGAAGGGGAGGATCAGAGAAGACAGGATCATACTGCCCTTTTACACAATGTGGAAGATTAACCCCTTAGGTTCCACAGTGAGCATAACAAGCATGCTTTACTACATATATAGACTGATTTTACTTTTGTGGGTTTAGTTTGACACTTTAAACTTTTGTAGCTCAAAATTGAGCCAATACAAACTAATAATCAGGACTTTTTTTTTCAAGCTAGAAAAGTGGTCCTGTGAAAAGTGGCCTCCAGTGCTGGCACTGTTCTTGCTGCTCACTATTGTCACTTGTAAACACAGAAGCCCGGCTTCAGCTTTGAGACAAGCCCTCATTCACCTTTGTATTTATAAGAATTGTGAAGAAATTAACTATCAAAGGTCACAATTCAGGCTGTGTTTTTCTTTGAGAACAGATCTTGGCTGGCTGGCTGGCTGGCTGCCAGGCCTCTAATGTAAACCAACAGCAGACATTTTAAAGCTGTCAAAAACTAAGCCTGCACTCACACTAATGTAGTGTGAAAATCACGAGAATGTGTGTGCAATCTTGAATCGCAAAAAATGGGTGTCAAACTTGCTAGCTGCAACCAAAAAGTGCCAAGCAAGAATCGATAAAATGTGTGGTTAAAACATGTGAAGCTCCAAAAACAAAACAAAACATGAATTTCTTTCCTGCATTTGACGTGTGCAGGATCCACGACAATGTGTCAAAAAAGCATATGTGCAATGCCTGACATTGTACTACAGTAGTGTAAATGGGGCTAAAAGAGTCTTTGTTGTAATCTTTGAGGATTTAGAGAAAAAATAACTTCACGTTAAAAGCGGCTAGAGAGGTAAGTTATGGATGTCTTGTTTTAAAGCTCCTTTACTGCCTGTTAAGAGTATATACATACTGTCTGGGGAATTAACAAAGCTTCTTGTGCCATTAATTAAACTGGTGCAGGAATATTGTCAACCATGCACCACTTAACTAAGCAGATTGACCTGCTTCAGGTCTGTCTGCACCACCTGTGCCAGTTACTACCAAAAAGTGAAAAAGAAACTAGTGTAGGGTCTGCACCTAATTAACAAAGGAAATACAGCAGTTTTCAATATAGAAAACTGCCACAGATCCCCGTCAGCTTGGAGCTGGTGCATAGGATGTGAGCTGTCAATAGACAGGTCACATCTCTCTCTCTGCATGTGAAGTGGTCACACTACACAAGCAAAACCTGCATGGTCAATAAACCTCCTGCTCCTCCCTCCTGAGCTGAATGGGAAACAGGGACAGGCAGAGAGATCGGACCATGCAGCTCCAGCTATCCTGTTCTCTGTACTGTGTCACAGCCATGGCAGAACAGAGAACCGATCACTCTTAATTAACAGAAGAGTTGATTTCTGTTTTTGACAGCACTGGAACTGCATGCAGTGGTGTGAACTAGGGTTATTGGAAAACACTGATTTCATTGTGTTCAGAAAGCAGAACATGCACCTGAAAGCATCCGGAGTGAACATGTCTTTGTTCTGCTTTAAATTACAAATTGATAATTATCTGTGCCAAAGAAAAATTTTCTTACCCAATGGGTCAAATTGTTCCCGTGATATGATAAAAAAAAGCAGCTGTACTCTCATATCTGTAACTATCGGATATTCTTGTCATTTATCATCACTTAATATTGTATTGCAACAAACAGTTTTATCCTTGATTTTACAGCAGTCACATTCTGCTTTATGAAATACAAATATTGCTGTCATTTTTGTATATTTCATCGTGTGTGTTCAGTGAAGTGGAGAGTTCAGTGTTTTAATAATGCATGTTACTAAATACAGCTCATAAATGTGTGAGATAGGTTGTGTCCTGTTTGGGTCCGTCAACCGGGACAGGTGGATTCAGTATGACAATCTTTTCTAATCACTTTATGTTATTTTCTCCTATTTGTACATTTTGTGTCATTTATGGCCTGTACACACAATAAGAAATTGTACGAAAATTTCCATACGAAGAATGATCGGCTCTTAGATTGTAAGCTCCAAGGAGCAGGGCCCTCCAAACCCTCTTGTATTGAACTGTATTGTTGCTGTATTATCTCCCGTTATATTGTAAAGTGCTGAGCAAACTGTTGGCTCTATCTAAATCCTGTATTATAATATTAATAATCGGTTGATTACCTGATCATTGGTATAGTGCTTTTGAAAGCCAGTTCCGACTTTTCGAAACAACAAAAACCGAGGGTTCAAACTAGAAAATTTTTATCCTACGTGAACACAACGTCCAATTTTTGTTCATGTGTACAGTAATCATATGGAAATAATCGAACAGAAAAACAATGCTCATGATCAGGAGCAAGGACAGACCCTACACTACTGTTCTACTACACTAGTATGCACAGTAGCTACTGTATGTTTGCTTACCTTTGTTGGCTGAGAATTTTCTTACAAGTCAATACCATTCTGACTACATCATGATACGCACTTCCATGGAAAATCGGATGATCGGTCGTCCGATTTTCTCACAGTGTGTACCAGGCTTCAGGCTGCATTCATATCTCTGCACCACGTGAACATGTGGTTTTTAGAGTGTTTTTGTTGCGCGTTTGTGTGCGGTACACACATAGGGCAGCCCATTCATTAGAATAGGCTGCCTTATGTGCAATAAACATGCCAAAGAAGCTCCTATACCCTTTTGGGTGTTCAGGTTAGCCTGTTTTTTACTGCGTGTTTGGCTTGTTTGTCACACATTTTGATCTCCTGGCTGCCTCAAGCACCATGCGAGCTTTCTATGAATTCTGCTTTTGCGAATGGAGTCTTAGACTCATTAAGTGTTTTTTTTTGATCTTTCGCATATTTTTCCACTCCACTGTCTTTAAAAATAACTATAGCATAGCTCTATTTATTGAGCAGAAACTTAACAGGTTTTCTATAGAATTCATTAACTGCTTCCCGGTGCCCTATAGCAGAAATACTGTTACAGGGCGGTACGGGTGCGTAAAATCACGTATATATACGTGTCCATTTGCAGCTGTAGCTGTCAATCATCGGGTCCCGGCCGGTGATTACTCGCCAGCGCCGATGGTTTCCGAGGATCTCCGATGGGGAGAACTGTTTTGTTTACTAACATTTCTCCTCCCTGTCAGCTCGGGCACACTGCTTTGGATGGCTGTGCACAGCACAGCCATCCAAAGCAGTGTGATTACAGCCCCTCATGTTAATCCCTTCCTGCTCAGTGCCATTAGTACAGTGTCAGTGCTGTTTTTTAGCACTGATCACTGTAATGGTGTCACTGGGAATGTCAGTTCCCCCCAGTGTCAGAATGTCCACCGCAGTCCTGCTATAAGTCGCTGATCACAGCCATTACTAGTAAAAATAAAAAATAAAATCCCAGTATCTATACCGCCATTTGTAAATAACTTTCACGTACACCAATTAATTTACACGTATTGGGATTTTTTTTAGCAAAGACATGTATCAGAATACAGTTTGGCATAAATTTATGATGAAATTAGATTTTTTTAAATTTTTTATTGGACATGTTTAATAGCCAAAAGTCAAAAATATAGTTTTTTTTCTCAAAATTGTCAGTGTTTTTTTTCGATAGCGCAAAAAATAAAAAATGCACAGGCGATCAAATACCACCGAAAGAAAGCTCAATTTCTGGGAAAAAAGGACATAAATTTCATTTGGGTGCAGTGTTGCATGACTGCGCAACTGTCGGTTAAAATAGCGCAGCACCGTAATGCAAAAATGGCCTGGTCAGGAAGGGGGGTAAATCCTCAGGAGGGCAAGTCATTAAAATAAATCATGCAGAAAGATTTTTTTTTTTTTGCAGTGCAGCTGGTAAAGTAAAAAAGGGTTTGCAGTTTGTAACACCAGCTCTTGTATGTTTCTTCATTTCTCAGCATCCCCAGTAAGGCTACATTCAAACCATTAACTGTAGAGAAATAGTATGCGAGCGCTATCTGAAACTGCAGAGAATATAGCCGCTATAACACCAAAAAGGTAACCAAGGACAAACCTTCCAATCAATTTATATAAAGAAAAGGTGCAGCGCTAGATGTAAATATAACTAAACATAATGAAACAACATTATAAATGGACATAAAGAAGACATATAATAACAATAAAATCGAGTGTAAATTGGTGAATTACACTCAGTGAATTAAAATGAGTGAATGTCCCAAAATGATTCAAACGCCCACATGGGGAACCAATAGATCCAATTGAAGTACCATCTGTGGTCTCTCTAAACCGGTTTAATGCCATGTATAAGCGTTGCTGATGGAGGAAAGGTGATCACTATGTCTACCCAGCTATATCTCAGTAGGCCGCAATCCCTTTCTGATTGTTAGCGGCATCCGGAAAAAACCTTGTCCGGTAAAGAAAAGGTGAACGCTACCATCAGTCCTGCGTCATGCCAACAGTAAAGTATCCTGAGACCATTTATGTGGGGTTGCTTCTCAGCCAAGGGAGTGGGCTTACTCACAATTTTGCCTAAGAACATAGCCGTGAATAAAGAATGGTACAAAAACATCCTCCAAGAGCAACTTCTCCCAACCATCTAAGAACAGTTTGGTGATGAACAATGCCTTTTCCAGCATGATGGGAAACTTTGTCATAAGGCAAAAGTGGTAACTAAGTGGCTTGGGGAACAAAACATTAAAATTTTGGGTCCATGGCCAGGAAACTCCCCAAACATTAATTCCATTGAAAACTTGTGGTCAATCCTCAAGAGGCAGGTGAACAAAAAAAAACTCACACAAATTTTGACAAACTCCAAGCACTGATTATGCAAGAATGGGCTGTCATCAGTCAGGATTTTGCCCAGAAGTTGATTGACAGCATGCCAGGGCAAATTGCAGAGGTCCTGCCAATACTGACTGCATAAACCTAAAGTAATTGTCAATAAAAGCCTTTGACACATATGACATGCTTGTAGTTATACTTCAATATACCAGAAGAACATCTGACAAAAAGATCTAAAAACACGGAAGAGCAGACTTTGTGAAAATTAATATTTGTACCATTCTCAAAACGTTTGGCCAAGGCTGCACTGTAAATTCTATCCTGCCCTTATTGTTAGGGAATGCCCTTAACTCTCCACTGGATTTACCACCCTCTCCTAGGATAGCCCCTATTCTCTCTAGATCTCTCTTAGTACTGCTTTTTCGCTGTAATTGAATGAATACCAGGGACACTAGAACACCAAGATACTTCTCAGTATGAAAGGCAATATAGCCATAGTCTGCAAATCTGACACATCCTCACAAGGTTTTAAAACTATAATTTCAATATCAAATATAATAGATAAACATACTTACTTGTCAATTATGTATTTAATGTTATCATGCAGTGTACGATCATCACGTTCTTTATACGGCTGAATGTGAAATGCTACCTGAAAAAAAGATGATCATGTAAAGAACATTCTTATTTTGTTCACTATTACAATTATAGGATTTTTTAAAATTACATTTAAGAACTCTTAATGGAAGAAATATCAGGATGCCACTAATTTTCTATCCCAGAACAAGTATTAATTTAGAAATCCCTTTCCTATATGCATGTTCCTGGCCACTAACTAGCTACATATTAAGACCATATGCATAACAGTCGCGGAATTTATTAGAATAACATCCAGCACTTTGTATGACTCTAACTTAGTCCCAACATCCAATGTAACCTTTTGTGAAAAATGCATATAAGATGTGAATATACAGTATATAATTGATACAATCTAAGACATCAAATTTGTGTGCAAAAAATGAAGTAAAATGTTTTGTGCAAAAAGATTTCTTGTGTGTGAATCTTCTGTTATCTAAATTCAGTTCTCCATGTCAATGCATTCATTGCGGCAACTACAGAAACCATAGAATTTATTTCTGTTTTCTCTGTGATCTTCACCCTAATTGCTCCTGAATCAAACAGTAATCTGTGGACTCCTTCATCTTCATGTTACCTCCATCCTTGAATAGAAGCACCAGATAGATTTGACATTAATTTCAGAATGGTAATTAAACATTTAATCAATTCCACAAGCCAGGATCTTGTGCCAGGTTTCTATGCACCTTGGTAAATGTCATAATTCAGACAGAACTAAGATCTAAACAGTAAAAAATCCCTTTTTTTAAACCTAAAAACAAAGTAAACCACACCAATATAAAAGTGCTGTAGTCAACACTAACATGAACAGCTCAATTCGATTGCTTCTTCCATTCACCCTAGAGCATGTGTGTGCGTGGTGATGTCACTGGTCCAGCCCAAAACGTTTCATCAGGAAGGAACTTTCTCAAGAAAACCATCAATGACTTTCCATTCCAACCCTTTTTTCCCTCTATTTAATCACAAATGCTTTCCATACTCATCAGCTTCTAAATCAGCAGTGCTTTATTACTGCTCACCACCTTTCAAGTTATTGCTCAGAAAACAGAACTTCGGAACAGATGCTATGCTACAATATTCACTAACTGCATTTCATTGAAAGTTTTTACCAAAAGATAAAATCTTCCAATAACCTTATGCACATACATGTAACCCCTTAACACACATATTGCCAACATTGCAACACAAATATTACCATATTAAAAGGATCACATATAAATTAATCCTCCATTTACTGGACCAATATAAAAAACACATATTACAAGCAGGGGCGGACTGACAACTCATGGGGCCCCCGGGCAATAGGGGATCATGGGGCCCCTGTGTCTTTGCCCAAACAAAAAAACCTATGAAAAAGGTACCAGGGGCATCTCATGGGGCCCCCTACTGACCCCAGGCCCTCGGGCAATGCCCGAGTTTCCAAATGGTCAGTCCTCCCCTGATTACAAGTTATATATCCCAAACCTATTATACAGGTTTAATTCATCTTGTAACTATATATATTTAGAAACCATGAAACTACAAATCACTATGGATTTAGAATAAGGGCATGTCATGTCAGAAAATGTCATATATACATGGAAATATGTAAATAAATTCAAAAATAAAAAGTTTAAATAAAGATAACAAAATAAAAATGTATAGTATATAAAAATTACAATATTTATAACATATGGTAAATGCTCAGCCAGCCATACCTACACGTAGAAACGCTATCTATATCATAGAAATGAAGCATGCTAGGATCCCTTATGTGGAAATCTCTGAATGTTAGGGCACACTACAATTTTTAAAACATTACTTAATATTATTTACATGTTCTCTTACTTTTTGACTTACGTACTGCATTCTGCATGGGCATTCAAGTGTGTATTTTATATGAGTGATACTTCAAGGTATGACATTTGCAATATCATAACTTCTACCCACTATCTTTAGGACAAATTAGTTTTCTTTTTCCCATTGTTGCTTGTAAATGATTAGTGGTTTTGCAGGCAATAAAGCTTAATACTTTATCTCTTTGTTGAATGAGCCAATGTTTCCTCATGTTTTTTTTTTCCAGTTACCTGGATGTTAATATTAGTTACAAAGGAATGTATACTTAAAATTCAAAGTCTGGTCAGTAAAATATTTTCCCCGCAGAGGTTCAGATAGCTAAGGCTCAGATCCTTCACATCACATTCCTTTTCTTACATCAGTGTCTTCAGTCCCTCCTGCACATCTCAGCCCCTCCTCCTTTGCATTACAGTCTCCCCTTTATATTAGTGTCTTCAGTCGCCCCCCCCCCCCTTTAAATTACAGTCCCCCCCTCTACATCACAGTCCCCCCTTCACATCCAGATTCTTCTCTTTACATCACAGTTCTCTCCCCCGCTTCTGTTTTACAGCATAGCCCTGCAGTACATCAGTCACCCCTTCACAGCATTGTCTTCAGCCCCCCTTTGCCATCATCCCCCACCTTCAAAACAATGTCCTCAGTCCCCCTTCACATCCCCCCCCCCCCTTTCCCCACACACCTTCATAACATTATCCTCAGGTCCCCGTTTCAGATTCCCCCTTCACATCACACCCTCTACCCCTTCACAGCAATGTCCTCACCCCCTTCATATCACACCCCCCCTTTTCACAGCAGAGCCCTAACCTCATTAAACATTAAACCTTTAACCCCCCCCCCCCACACCCTTTTCCCTTTACAGCTGTCATGTTAATCCACTTCCTAATTTTTTCTGAAAAGGTGAAAATACACTTTAACACATTGGATGTTTTGAGTGAGTTAGGTTCATACGAAGCGTTGGGCATTATTCTAATAAGCTTCAGGAATATTGTTTAAATGTGTTCAGCACAGCAGCTGTATTGATTAGATGTAGCAGTATTAGCTCAGAGGTATACATATTCAAAAAACAGTCATGGAATACCACTTGTACTTGTTTTCCAAGGCAACAACACTTTCTTGTAATTTCCTAAATCTTTTGTTCATCAGTAGCATCACCAAAAAGAATGGTTGTGTAAGAGAAGCTGAGTACATGTTGGAACAAGAAGGCTGGCACATGCTCATACTTATGTGCATGCTCATAATCCTGAGCAAAGGCTCAATGTAAAACAGGCACTGTCACAAAAGTAGTAGCATGTGTAGAAAATATATGCACACGTGCACAAGTATAGGTACTGGTGCTAAGTGGTCTATTTAAGCTGGAATCTGACATTAATGGACTACTGAATAGTTTACAGGTAGTTCCTGCTTTACCTGAACCTTGATCTGCCATGCTTGCTTACCTATGTACAACTCAGCTTGCACCTGACCTGTCCTTGGATTTTTGCCTGCCTGCTGTGACCTCGGCTTGTATTCAGCTCCTGTCTTGTGTTCCTGTACCCCGCTTCCCAGCTGTGTACTGATCCCGGCTTGTATCCTGACTCTGTCTCTGCCTGATGTTCCTGTACCAAGCTGCTTGGCTGTTGATTACCTTTTGGCTTTTATTCTGGTTACACTCCTCTCTGCCAAGCAAGTGTCACCATGTTCCAGTTCTTGGTTCCTGCCTGGCAATCTATGGTAATCTGCTTCCTGAAAACCCCAGCTAGCCCTACCTACTACACCGATCCTTGTGTCACTCTGTGCTCACACTCCCTGTCATCACTACCAGGGGTGTTACTCGATGGTGCAATCGAGTAAAAGATGCTCGTATTTCTAAAAAAAATAGAAATGTTTTACTGAACATTCTTTCTTGCAGCAACAGGGCAATCTTTGGACAAGAATATCACCAGCATACCGAGGATCTCCAGTATGAGTCCAAAGCATTAATAAGAGATTGCATAGGTACAGCAAAAGCAACGTTGATGAAGGCATCCTGCGAGACTCTGAAACATTACTCTTGCTGTAACTATGTGATCGCTTATTAAAGCTTTGGACCCATACTGGAGATCCTCTGTGTGCTGGTGACATTCATCTCCTCTGATTCTTCTCGCTTCCAGCCAATGGTTGCTGCAGCACCTGCTTATACACACAGCCATTTCTTAATGCAGAAATGTGTGCATTGGGATCATGCATTTTCAGTCAGGGTATTCCTTGGCTCTCAAGGAGAACTTGAAACATAGGAGTCACTGCAACCAGGTGCATTTTCTTAGTGTAGTTTGGTACGACTTGGTTTCTGCTTTTCTTCTCTCAGAATATGCTCCAGCTAAGAGTATCTCAGTTGCCCTAATAAGAATTTTTAATTGTTACTATGCTCCTGCAGTACAGGGGACATACCGCCTTGATGCCACATACAGGACCTCATCTGATATCTCCACCATACACAAAAAAAAATACATTGATCTTACTTTATCAGATAATTCACCCAGTTGCACACCCCACCCCCTGAACACATTCCCTTTCTCCTAAAGGAGAAATAGGTGGGCTATCATTGCTGACCTGCATTAAAAATTGTATTTTGACACACCTGTAAAATGTATTTCTTGAGTACATCAGGGAACACAGAGCAACTTAGTAGGGTTAGTAGGGTATGCACCATCCACAGGTGATTGGACATTGGCAAGAAAAACGCAGGAAGTCAGATCCCAGGAATTCCACCTCCCCTTCTTGACAGATTTCAGTCTTGTAGCAAGCCATAATCCATAAAAAAAAAAAAAAAAATGGAAGGGAAGGCTCTTGGTGTCCTGTGATGTACTCCAAGAAATGGACTTTACAGGTAAAACAAAAATCCAGTTTTCTTTAGTGTACATCACAGTACACAGAGCATCTTAGTAATCCTTACTAGCAGGGATGTCCCAAAGCATTTAAATGAGGGCTGGGCAACACTGCAACAGAAAAGGAAAAAACTCACAAAGTAGCCCACAAAACACTACTACCAAAAGTAGCATCCTTAGTGGCCCTAACATCTACCTGGTAAAATTTTGTGAAAGTGTAAACTGAAGACAAGGTAGAGGTCTTGAATAAGTAACTCTGGTGCACAGGAGTAAAGTAGCATAAGGGTGAAAAGGAAATAAAATATAAAGTAAAAGATGATAATGGCAATATTGGAATACAAGTACTTTAAAACAGGGTAAGTAAATGCATTGATGTACAATAAGTCCTTATAAGAGTCTCTCAGGCAATCTGCCTGGAATCTTTTTAGCACAAAAAAATGGCAGCCATCCTCTGAGCAAGCCAGCTCTGTATGCAGGGACAGAAGAAAAGAGACAGGAGGCGCCCGTCTGAGTGTAGTAATAACACTGTATTTAATAGCAAAGGATTAAAAACACTCACAAAGGAAGTAATAAAATAAGCTCATCTGTGTATATGAGAGTTGACCATTCCTCACAACGTCCTGCAGGCACCATTGGTGGTTTGTGCAATAGCAGCTGGGCTGATGGAGATGGTAAGAGACACTGTAGTTTTCAATCCTGCAGAGTGGTGGTGTTGTTGTAGAGCCGATCCAGCGTCATTTGTGCAGGAAGGAGCCTAGTAACCAGCCTGGAACACAGGATGTGATGTCACAGGAAGAGGCGGAGGGTCAGTAGGGAGGAAGAGCACAGATGTGGGACAGCCAGGCTACGCGCTCAGAGCCTCTAGCTCCTTCTATTGGTCTCCAGAGTGTGAGCCATGAGGAATAGTGCACTGCTCAGAAAAAGAGCAGACTGCTCCCACAAATTGTTTAGATACCCCAGAATAGACATTTGTTTGGTCCATGGAAGGCTCAAAACAGAAGCAAGAAACTTGCTGAACACTTGCAGGCTGTGAATAGGCCAGACAGTAGGGCTACAATTAAAAGTGGCATTCCTCGACTGCAAACCATAGAAATCTCTGGTGAAGGGAAATATCGGGACATGTAGGTAGGCATCCACCTATGCTAGGAAATTCCCTGGCTGTAGAGAGGCCGCTACTGATCATACTGATTTCATCCAGAACTCCTGTACATGGAGAAATCTGTTTGAATGCTTAAGATTTAATATCAGATGAACATCACTATTCGCTTTTATAACCTTGAAGAGTTTTGAATAGAATCCACGGAACTTCTCATCCTCTGGGACTGGACGATCACTCCCTGAGAAAGAATATGATTCAGGGCCTACAAACAGTCAAGCATTTTTGTGGATTCAAAGAGATTAAAAAGCATGAAGCATGGCGGGGGAAAGCTTTGGAACTCTAGCTTTTTCATCCAAGAGTCATGACACATCGGACCTACTGGTTCACTATTCCCCCTTGTCATTTTTCCACAAAAGCCTGCAAATATCCCCCCCACCACACGAGTGAGAGAATCCCTTTATTGGGAAGAGGACTTGGCATCCAATGTTGCTGGCTTGGTGAATATCTCATGGAAGAAGTGGATGGTGCAGACCTTGATTGCCCTTCTTCTTAAGGGGTAAGAGAGTACTCTTACCTCCTGAAATCTTTTGTTCTGTGTACATTTATCCAGGTCAGGCCCAAACAAATTTCCCTTATGAAAGGGGAAGCTCATCATCACTTTCTTGCAGGGAGGCTCTACATACCAACATTTTGGTCGAAGAATTTTAGTGCATATGAACTGATGTCAGGCCCAAAGAGAAATCTGCTGAATGGAATCCTTCAAGGCATCCACAGCAAAACAGAGGGCTTGAGGAAAATCACCAGGCATGGCAACTCTATGGAGGACTCCAACTCTCTGGAGAGATGTTTTGCCCTAACCTTAAGGCTCCGGCAGACTCCAATAGTTGCAACCTGTAGAGCTTCCCCAACTAAGCAAAAGATGTGTTGAACAATGATTCCAGACATTTGTCAGAAGCATCCTAGAAAATTGGAATGGCTTTCAGAGGACAAGTAAGTATCTTGTCGAGATAAGAGATTGTTGCATCAACTGAGAGTGTACTCCACTTCTCCAAATCTCCCTCTATTGGGTTTTGCTGAGGGAGTCTCTTTGGTTGAGCAAACATATTTTAGGGATGGATCCAATCCGCATAAAAAACACACTTAAGATGAGTATGTATTGGAAAGGATGGTGGATCTTTGTGAAAGTAGTCAACATGATCCCAGGCTAAACCTTCTGAGAAGATGATTCAGGTAGCAGCAGCTTCAGATCATTACAGACCACTTCTGTAAGAAACTGTACAAGTGCCTCTTGGTCCTGAGTTAAACTCTGACCCTGTGGTTCCTCAGGTGCAGAATTCTTAGATGATAGTCTTCCGCCTCCCTGTTCACAGGTACATCTTCTGCCTCTAAGATGTCTTTCCAAGTATCCCCTTCCATCAAAAAGGGGGAGGATAAGGGGGGGAATGCTTGGGTTTGTGACTTTGATGGTTTCGAACCAGCTAGAATGCCAGAAAACTGTTGCATCATTCCTGATAATGCAGAAGACAAATCCTTCTTTGTCACAAAGGACTGGAGGGGAGTGCCCTGAAAGTAGGGGGAAACTACCCAAAAAGTGAAGGAAGTCAGAGTTGCAAGGAACAGAGGACCCCCAGGGGAGACTGTAACAGAGGGGCTACATTCAGACTCCTCCCTAAAGATGCATTGGTCCAAGATATTAACACAACAGCGCTAGGATACCGCAGAGAATGGAAACTAGCTCAGTGTAAGGACCTGAATCAAAATCATCAGAGTCATTTGCTTTGGTCGTTCACAAATGTTGCCCTCTTCTGATTGGGAAAATCTTTCTGCTGAACAGCAAAATGACAAAAAAGAGGGCGCAAAAGCCTAGTGCAATACCTTAAAATAGTATAATGAAATAAAAAAGTGTAAAAACCATGCTCACAAAAGGCCAAATGGCTAAAAGCATTAAATAAATAGAATCTAAGTGCTGACACGTCCAAGATGTTGGAGTGTTTTATAGAGACCTAGGCAACACTCAAGCTCAGATGCACATTCTGACGCTTTTAAAGGACAAGCCCTCTTACTCAGAGCATAGTTTGCTTGTTAGTCACATCACAGTTTAAATACATCTAAAAAATATCACATAACCATTGCTAGGCTGTCCGTGCCCTAATGGGGAGGGGCCCTTCACATAAACATTATTTGTCTCCCTGGAACAATGTTGTATAATATAGGTTCCTCCCGCATCTCTACCTCTCTGCCATTTTGTGGACTTGTGACCTTGCAACTGTTAAAATATCTGTACAGTTGTAAGAATGGATGCAGATGGAACCAGTCTTCTGATCCCTATTGAAACAGTTGAGAATAGTAGGTAGTGAAGAGAGTGGCACAGCAATGACTATCACCCTCAGATACTTTCAAAAAGATTGAAGCCTTTCTGGCAGGGAAGGGGTTATGCCTTGGAGAGGACTTCCTTTCTTTTTCTTGCCAGTGTCCAATCACCTGTAGGTGGCGCATAACCCTGCTAGTAAGGATTACTAAATTGCTTTGTATCCCATGATGTACAAAAAAGATATTCTATTTTCCTACCTAGCATGCTGATACAGTACTTTCTCAGTTGATGACCCAGAACAAGTGTACAGTAAAAGAAGTCCTATTTTGTACAGACATACCTCTGGGTTAAAATTAATGAGGGCTCCAAATAAACATTACTGACAGTTACCTTTATGTTGTATCTGTGAGCAGCTTCCAGGACTAGAGGCACCAAGTTTTCCACTGACTCCCCATTTTCATCTGCTGTTCCAGGTGGATACCAAGACAATACCAACACTCCTAAAGAAATAAAGAATTTTAGAATAAATTTGTTAAAGAACTACAGTTATATTACAAGGGCAAAATCATTCAGACCCAAAGTGATGAACTCCTCACAAATTTTGGAATATTTTAATTTCATAGTAAAGTTGGATGGTATTTATAACAGAACTCTGGATTCAAATAGTACAGGTTTTTTTTTTTTTTCTAAATTTCACCTCCGATTCTTTCAAACAGCAGTATGCCCTATGCTAATTACTATTAATCAGCCAATAGATTTTAGTGATGAAAATGTGGATGCTCCCCCATGGCAAAGAATAATGTCCTTAATATATGGGGGTTGATTACTAAAGGCAAATGCGCTATTCACTTTGAAAGGGAAGTTGTGCTTTGCAAGGGAAATTCTCCCAGAGCTTAGTGAATGTGATGAGATTTCATTTTCAAAAATACCCAATTGTGTGCAAGGAAAATGTAAAAAAAAAAAATATTTTTGCTTTCACATGCTTGGATGGTGGAAGTCAGCAGAGCTTCACCTCATTCATTAAGCTCTGGGGAAAATTCCAATGTAAAGTGCAACTTGCCTTGCAAAGGGAAGTCTTTTTTCTTTTAGTAAATCAACCCCATGGCATGCACACATTACACACTGTATATGTAATGGGCATAAACAGGATATAATAAAAGTGGGATCCTTTAATTTACCAACAAAAAAACAGTATCAGAGCTGCCTGAACTAAAATGCTGTACGAGTGTGACATTCTAATTACCAGTCAAAAGCTTGTTTTCTTGTGGCTCTAAAGTATCAGAGCTGCCTGAACTAAAACTGCTGTAAGAGTGTGACATTTCTGTCTTTGACAAACTCAACATTTCCTCAAAAACACTGCACTGCCCAGGGGGAACTTCCCCACCCACCTCACCCCTTCCCATTCCTGCAATTTATTATGAAGTCTTCTCTAATTGACCATGAAGTTATATAAGCAGTCAAGTTTTTCTGATATCATTAAAACAGGCTCATAAAATGTTCCAGAGATGAAACAATAGACAATCAAAATACTTCCTTACCTATAGCAGCCGCTCTGAGCTGTCGCATATGTTCTTCTAGGACCTCTGGGTCTTTGGAACTGTATGGTCCTAATTCAGGGTAGAAGCTGGAACCAATATCTTCTGGAGGACTGTGTCTACCTTTAGGGTAACTGGCAGATATTTTGGGGTCCCAGTGAGGAACCATTACGTGATCCCAGTGGATATAATTATTATCAAACTTCGGGTTTCCATACCACATGTAGTAGAAAACATGCAGATCATAGTAGACTTTTGTTTGGTCCACTGCATTTGCAGTACCTTGTGGTTGGGAAATAACTTCATTAGAAACAGAGCGTCTTTCAGATTGTTCACCAAAAGGCATTAGCTCCAGACCAGGTGCAAGGTCAGAAAACCATCAGTGGGTTTCAAAGTTCGCAAGCCCATCATTGTTCCAAATATGAAAAGCATGAATAAGAAAAGTGCAATGCATGCTTTTCTTCGAAGCCTTGCCATCTTCTTAATAGTAATATTGTACTCTATAGGAATATTCCCATTTGGTCAGACCTGGGAGAGAAAGAGTTAAAGAAATAACTTGATATCAATTATATAATATTTATAAGTTAACAATATTTTGTTAATTCTATAATGTTCAAACAGGAATGGCTGATGTAAGCTTATACTGACCATGTCGCTATACCAGTCTCAGAAAAAAGGTATATCTCTAAAATAAGACTGTTCATACTTACCTTTTCTACCACACAGGCTACTGAATACATTGAAACTAAGAAATGGTTCTCAAATTCAACGGAAAAAACAACCACTAACAGGAGTGTTGATCTCCTAGGTCCCCCACAGCTCTTGCTTTTTTCTCCAACTGACTCCTACATTCATCGGCCACTTTGTTAGGTACACTTTGCTAGTGCCAAGAAAATATCCACCACACCTCTACACCACCACCAGCCTGAACAGTTGATACAAGGCAGGACAATGAAAAGTGACCCCATACAAAATATTAGAGAAAAGGCATATCGGTAAAAGATGGTTGTACATACTTACTGTACTTTTCCTGCTGCCTGCACAGCTGAATGGCTCTCCAGTCCTGGGAAATAGCCCTCCAAAGTCTACAAGGACACACAGACTTCCAGGATTGTCGATCTCCAAAGTCTCCCACAGTGTTAACGAATTTCCCTTGCTGGCCTCTAAGTCCTGTAGTGACATACACTCATCGGCCACTTTATTAGGTACACTTTGCTAGTGCCAAGAAAATATCGCCCACACCATTACACTACCACCACCAGCCTGAACAGTTGATACAAGGCAGGATGGATCCATGCTTTCATGTTGTTAATGCCAAATTCTGACCCTACCATCTGACTGTCGCAGCAACCAGTCTGCCATTCTCATCTGACATCAAGGCATTTTCGTCCTCACAACAGCAGCTCGCTGAATATTTTCTATATTTTGGACCATTCTCTGTAAACCCTAGAGATGGTTGTATGTGAAAATCCTAGTAGATCAGCAGTTTTTTAAATACTCAGACCAGCCCGTCTGGTATCAACAACCACACCATGTTCAAAGTCACTTATATCCCCTTTCTTCCCCATTCTGATGCTCAGTTTGAACTTCAGCAAGCCGTCTTCACCACGTCTACATGCCTAAATGACTTGAGTTGCTGCCATGTGTGATTGGCTGATTAGCAATTTGTATTACCATGCAATTAAACAGGTGTACCTAATAAAGTGACCAATGAGTGTATGTCACTACAGGACTTAATGGTGACTTAGAGGTCAGCAAGGGAAATTCATTAACACTGTGGGAGACTCAGGAGATCGACAATCCTGGAAGTCTGTGTTTCCTCTTTTACATATCTTTTACAGATATGCCTTTTCTCTAATATTTTGTATAGGGTCACTTTAAAAGAGTATTTTGACCACAGAAGTACATAGCAAATGGCTTTGTTTAACATCAGTAAAGTGTTATTAAGAAAACCTGTACTGACAAATACAAAGACCGTCAATGCTGAACTCTTTCAGATAATTCTAGTTTCCCATCTCTCTCTGGCTTCAATACTTTGAGACACTGACCTGGAACAAGCATGTAGGTAAGGTCATAAAGAAATCAGAGCTCCTGATATACATATTAGTTGTAAATTTGTAATGTATAAAGCAGGGGCGGACTGACAACTCATGGGGCCCCCGGGCAATAGGGGATCATGGGGCCCCTGTGTCCTCACCCACACTCAAACCACAGCCAAAAAAGCCTATAAAAGGTACCAGGGGCATCTCATGGGGCCCCCTACTGACCCCGGGCCCTCGGGCAGTGTCCGAGTTCTCGGATGGTCAGTCCGCCCCTGGTATAAAGTACCAAGACCATTATTGTAACAGCAGGACAATCAGAGAGCTAATGTATTCAGTAGGAGAGTTCAGTGAGCTTTCTTACCACATGGCAGGTTTCCTTTAAACAAATAATTTATTTCTGTTATTAGTGTTTTCTGTGGTAGATCTAATAGTTCTAATGTACAGTATACAGTATATTACTATTTGTATTTCTCTTTTCACACATTCTCTCCCACACAGAAAGCATAGCTAACAATTTTCAGGAGCAGAAATGGCCATTTAAACATTCATCATTGTGGGACAACTAATACTGGAGCTGTAGTAAGGGTGACCTTTCCCAAATTGTAGAACATTAAAGAATGAGTAGTGGGGGTCAGAAACTAAGTTTCACGCTTACTGGTGTGATATAACCTATATTTTTTTAATGATTTGAAATATATTTACATTTATTTTTCAGGCTGATTATTATATTTTGTAGGGGACCTCCAAAATGTTGTATTCAAGGAATTGCATTCATTATTGGGTCCATCTACAGTACATATGAGTACAATATTATTATTATTATACAGTATTTATAAAGCGCCAATAGTTCGCTCAGCGCTGTACATTACAAAGGGGGACAGAACATGTGACAGAACAATAACAATACAATGCAAAACATGAGGGGATTGAGGGCCCTGCTCTTTCGAGCTTACAATCTAGGAGGGAGGGGATAGTGGTACAGGAGGAGATAGCTGTGGGGGATGGAGTAGTAGGAAGAGTGGAGGAGGTCGGCAGGTTAGCAGGGGGTGGGGTAGGCTTCCCTGAAGAGATGGGTTTTCAGGGTGCGCCTAAAGAAGAGGAGAGTAGGTGATAATCTGATGGGTTGAGGCAGGGAGTTCCAGAGGATGGGTGACACCCTGGAGAAGTCCTGGAGGCGGGCATGGGAGGAGGAGACCAGGGAACTAGAGAGAAGGATGTCTTGTGAGGAGCGGAGTGTGCGTGCTGGGCGGTACTTGGATATTAGGTCAGTGATGTAGTACGGGGCAGTATGGTGGACATCTTTGTACGTCAGTGTTAGGATTTTGAATTTGATCCGTTGCGCAATCGGAATAGATCAGCTTGCTACAAAATCCAATGACAAGAGAAAAAAGGATCAATACCAACCATCAGTTACAGCTGAAGACTGGCCATTCCACAAGGTTATGGGGTTTTGGGTAGAAATGTCCAGAAAACCATCACAATTCCATTTAGCTATGTTTATTTCCTTAGCAGGAATGGTAAGTATTAGAACTTTTTTTTGCTTACAAAAAAAAAACAAAAACTTTTTTCCTTTATAAATTGCTGCTTTAACCACAGCAATCTGTGATGTCAGATTCCCAGCACTGAGAGATCGAATGATGGCTGTTTTTTTTTTTTTTTCTAAATTGGCAAACAATATATGGTTGGCAGATTGCTTGGAAACAGAGGACAACATTTTCTACAAATTTAGAGTTAGCCATTCGCAGGAAAATCTAATGCATCATAACCTGAGCTTGTCTTAAACCATCTGCTCTGTTGAAAAAAAAATTGCTTCTGTCAGCGTAGAATGCTATTAGGATCGTATAAAATGTTGGTCTTCTCAATCTACTAACAGCTGAGCTCATGTTTTCCATTTACTTATTTGGTAAGTTAATGCTGTTATCATAGTATAGACATAGGCCTTAGTGCTTTATTTGATTTACTTATGGTGATTTATTACTATTCATGAAGAATGTAGCCCATTCATCACATCCCTGTAGTAAAACACCCTGGCTCTTACACCTACCTGACCCCAAATCCCGTGAAAACAATAAAATGTAATTGGTTATGTAAATAAATGACCTGATATTTCAAATAATTGTGTCATTCATACTCACTCAAATCAGACATCTGCTAGATGGCTTCTATTTCAGCTAAAGGCTACACTTCGCGTAATGGTATTAAGTTCCAATGAATCTTTAAGTAACAAGAGTCACTGAAAAGGCACAAAGAAAGAGACAACGTGGGAGATGGAGTGGAAGTTCAAAAGCTCAGCTGATAAAACTCACTGTGTATCATTCTTCCTTCTCCTTGTAATGGTTAATTTATTATTAATCTATCCCCAAACAAATGCCAGTCTGTAAATGAACCAAACACTTTTGAAATATAAAGACTAAGGTGACACAGTGCTGTTAATATTAAAATATAGTTTGAAATTGTCTCACATCACACTAAAGCAGAACAAATCAGGCCTGATTGACCCAAGAAAAGGCATAAAAATAACAACAACAAAAAAACCCCCTCAACCTTAACCTCTTCAGATTTTACCCCCTTCTTGACCAGGCCATTTTTGCCATTTAGCACTGTGCTACTTTAACTGGTAATTGTGCAGTCATGCAACACTGTACCCAAACAAAATTTATATCACTTCACACAAATAGAAATTTATTTGTTGCTATTTGATCACCACTGGGTTTTTAAAGTGTTTTTGCGATATAAACTAAAAAAAAACCCTGTAATTTAAAAAAAAAACAACAAAAAAATGTTTTTTTTACTTCCTGCTATAAAACATTCAATAAAAAAATGTAAAAAATCAAATTTCTTTCTAAATTTTCTGCTACACGTGTTGCTTTGGCTACACCAGCCTCCCATCTGCAGTACATTGTGGGATGGTGATTGGGAAGTAGCTAAATGACACTAAACTTCAGTTTAAAAAAAAAATATATATTCCAGTATTTTATTCTTATCAAACATGTACCTATTGTTATCAGCTTCTTCCAAATCTCCAAATTCCTTTTTTTTTTTTTTTTGCTGTTGTGATCCAACTTTCAGCTAGATGGTGACCATGTTCATTCTCCGTGGTCCCACTATATGTACGATCATAGCCACCATCTCTTGATTGCTCTTGAGTTGGAGTAGAGACTACAAACTGTATGATTTATAATGTGCATAAAGCAGTGCACATGACTGCAACTAACATGCACTGCTAGTTTCAAACAAAAGAAGTGAGAAGAAAAAGGGGATGTTTGGGAGTTCATGGAGGACATTATAAGAAAGCAGAAAAACACAGTAAGAAACAATGTTATGAAAAATACAATACAGGACCATTAAGTAGTGGATGTGTATGGGTTATTTTTGGAAAATAAGAATACTGTTTAGTGTCACTTTAACTTTAACCACTTGCCCTCCAGAGGATTTACTTCCTTTCCTGACCAGGCCATTTTTTGTGATACGCAGCTGCCTTACTTTAACTGACAATTGCGCGGTCTTGCAATGCTGTACTTAAATTAAATTTATGTACTTTTTTTCCACAAATAGAGCTTTCTTTAGGTGGTTTTTGATCATCACTGTGTTTTTTTTTTTTTGCGCTATAAACAAAACAAGACAGTCAATTTTAAAAATTCAACCCAATATTTTTTACTTTTTGCTATAAAACATATCCAATAAAAAATTTTTTAAAATAAACTTTCACCATAAATTAAGGCCAAAATGTATTCTGTTGCATATCTTTGCTAAAAAAAAAATCCCAATACGTGTAAATGAATTGGTTTACATGAAAGTTATAGCGTCTACAAATGGCGGTATATACAGTGAGGAACATAAGTATTTGAACACCTTGCGATTTTGCAAGTTCTCCCACTTAGAAATCATGGAAGGGTCTGAAATTGACATTGTAGGTGCATTCCCACTCTGAGAGACAGAATTTTAAAAAAAAATTCAGGAAATCACATTGTATGATTTTTAAAGAATTTATTTGTCTTGCACTGCTGAACATAAGTATTTGAACACCTGAGAAAATCAGTGTTAATATTTGGTACAGAAGCCTTTGTTTGCAATTACAGAGGTCAAACATTTCCTGTAGTTCTTGACCAGGTTTGCACACACTGCAACAGGGATTTTGGCCCACTCCTCCACACAGATCTCCTCTAGATCTGTTAGGTTTCGGGGGCTGTTGCTGAGCAACACGGAGTTTCAGCTCCCTCCAAAGATATTCTATTAGATTTAGGTCTGAAGACTGGCTAGGCCACTCCAGAACCTTGATATGCTTCTTACGGAGCCACTCCTTGGTTATCCTGGCTGTGTGCTTCGGGTCGTTGTCAAGTTGGAAGACCCAGCCACAACCCATCTTCAATGCCCTGACTGAGGGAAGGAGGTTGTTGCTCAAAATCTCACAATAAATGGCCCCATTCATCCTCTCCTTAATACAGTGCAGTCGTCCTGTCCCCTTCGCAGAAAAGCACCCCCAAAGAATGATGTTACTACCCCCATGCTTCACAGTAGGGATGGTGTTCTTGGGATGCAACTCATCCTTCTTTTTCCTCCAAACACGATGAGTGAAGTTTAGACCAAAAAGTTCTACTTTGGTCTCATCTGACCACATGACTTTCTCCCATGCCTCCTCTGGATCATCCAGATGGTCATTGGCAAACTTCAGACGGGCCTGGACATGTGATGACTTGAGCAGGGGAACCTTCCGTGCAATGCATGATTTGAAACCATGACGGCGTAGTGTTCTACAGACAGTAGAAACTGTGGTCCCAGCTCTCTTCATGTCATTGACCAGCTCCTCCCTTGTAGTTCTGGGCTGATTACTCACCTTTCTTATCATCAGTGATACCCCACGAGGTGAGATCTTGCATGGAGCCCCAGCCCGAGGGAGACTGACAGTCATCTTTAGCCTCTTCCATTTTCTAGCAATTGCTCCAACAGTTGATCTATTTTCACCAAGCTGCTTGGCAATTGCCCCGTAGCCCTTTCCAGCCTTGTGGAGGTCCACAATTTTGTCTCTGATGTCTTTTGACAGCTCTTTGGTCTTGCCCATGGTAGTAGTTGGCGTCTGACTGACTGTGGGGTGGACAGGTGTCTTTAAAGAGCTCAGACAGGTGCTACTAAGTTAGATTAATGAGTGGAGTAGAGGTGGACTTTTTAAAGGCACAGCAACAGGTCTTTGAGAGCCAGAATTCTTGCTGTTTCTTAGGTGTTCAAATACTTATGTTCAGCAGTGCAAGACAAATAAATTCTTTAAAAATCATACAATGTGATTTCCTGAATTGTTTTTGAAACGCTGTCTCTCAGAGTGGGAATGCACCTACAATGTGAATTTCAGACCCCTCCATGATTTCTAAGTGGGAGAACTTGCAAAATCGCAGGGTGTTCAAATACTTCTGTTCCTCACTGTAT